ACTAGCTCAAATGGGTCACTATTGAAAAATTAGTGTAGGGTCAAAGACTATATTCGCCTATTTTTTATTATTTTTCATATTTTCTTCTAATTTTGATTCTTTTAATTTTTTTGTTTTCATTTTTACACAAAACTGATACCTTGCACATACATACATACATAAGTACATAGTTAATTTTTGATAACAAAAACCAATTTTTATGACAGAAAAGTCTAGTTTTTAATAAAATTTCATTTGTTTTATCTCTTTAAATGTAAATATTTTCTTTGTCTATTTGATAACCGTGATTTATCTTCATTTTTCTATAATGAAAATTTGAAAAAAAAAACAATAGTACTTGATGAAATGCTTACATTATTATTTGTATACATATATGTATGTATTTATAAATGTGAAATAATTTGAGTTTGTCAATTTTAAATGGTACATAAGATTTTGCTCTTGTTTGATTTAACTCTCATTAAAAAAAGTTCTACTCATAATTTGCATTTAAATGGAACTTTAGGAATTAATTGAAGTTGAAGGTTTGATACATACATACTTGAACATACATATATACATTTTAGACACAGTGTAAACACAGCTATGATATTAGCAAAGAACATTGACATAAATGTAGCTACTGATGAGTTAAAACACAGACATTTTGTCTGTCAAATTACTGTTACATAAATTAATAGTATTTTCATTTTAAAGCTATGGATGAAATTTAAATTTCTTTTTAAAAAAAAAAATAATATTCTACATAGAAACAATTAAAAAATTAATAAATAAAATTTATTGCTAAAATAAAATATTTACTGTTCATTGACCAAATACAACAAATCATCGTATATGCAAGTATTTTTTTAATCCACATTTCTTTTATGTTTGAACGTACAATGTGTAAGTATGTATATGAAAATATATTCCTACTTATTTTGTACGTGTGTATAATCAGACATGTCTGTATATCTTATCAATAAATTATATGTGTACATCTTATCAGTTTTTAAAACATTCACTTTACATTTTAGCTTTTTTGTTTTTTTTTTTTTTTGAAAACACGTTAGTAATGAAGTGATTATTTTGTATAAATACAACTTGATCTTTAATTTCAACAAATAAGTAACTTATACTAACATAAGATTAAACAACTAAGCTGAATTATCAAATAAAAAAAAAATAATACTATATAAGCATTGCTGAATTTATAGACATTATAATAAAAAAAAAAGTTTCAGTCAAATTTTTCAACTAAGTAGTATAAAATATGAAATATTTGCGCATTAATATCACTACGCAAATATTAATCAGTTTAGCTTTAGTGAATTTCGGTTCGAAAATTCTATACAACCTTAACTTATGAATTTCAATTCATAGAATTTTTTTTTTTGAATCAAATACAGCAAAATATGTTTTTAAACCAAAATTTTGTGACTGGAATCCTGTCCACAATGCTGAGATCTTGGCCATTTTCTAAAAGTTTTCTAAAAATTTAAATAGTTAAGTACTGTTAAGAATACTCTTAAAACTAAATACGCGCGCTTAAGATCAAAATTTATAGTTTGTTGAGCAACTAAAATTCTGTTGCTAAAACATGTCATGTTGAAATCTATATGTTCGTAGAAATCCTTTACGTATTCATTAATCTGCAATGAGTGAATTTGATTTGACCTGTAAAAATATTCTATTGTAATCTTTCGAACATAATAACGCCATACAGTTGCTGAATTAGTCTGCAATATCGATCATTAACATTAATTTTTAATTAAATGTTTTAGTACTATCTTTTTATTTCTAAAACAAATTGTGTCCAATGTCTGGTTTTGAACAATTTCTAAATTATCATGTACATAGCTCTTTCTTTTTTCAAAACTGTGATTTTTGTAGGCTTTGAATTTTAATAAATACATTTTTAATGAGTTTATATAAATGTATGTACATATATGTATTATTTACAGACTCAGAAATATTTTTGTTATCAATTACTTAGTGTACGTTATACAAACCGTTGTCTATGCATACAATTGCTATCAGTATGTAAAATGATAGAAATAAGGTTCTTTACGATTTAATTATCACTTTTTTTTAGACAAAATATATATTTATTGTTATTTTTGTACATACACATATGTACATATATAAGTAACAGAAATTATAATAAAATTGAGTAAAAAAATTTCGGTATAGGAGAGGGATAATCTTTTTATTTATTCTCAGAGTCATTGTATTTTATTAGTCGAAAAATTTTCTTTCCCAAGTTCAGAAGTTTTTTTATCGTTATTTTTTTTTGTGTGTTTTTGAAAACCCCAAACAGAAAAAAAATGGTGTCTTGACAACAATATAGCTGAAAAATAAATTTAAATAAATTAAAAAATTTTATATTGTATTTTTTTTTTAAAGTATATTGTCGAATACTTAATTTAATTAATTTTTAATTAGTATTTTATTAATAATTATTTTTACATGTACGTTATATATATGTGTATATATATAATATCATAACAAATCCATTTATCATTAATGTCACGCCGTTACTATAATTTTCATATGCTTGCTGTCATAGATCGCTTTGCGACTGCAAATGTACCAGCATAGTGCCCTTTGACAGACGTTAATTTAATAATGGAAACTTGAGAGCATAAAAAATATATATGTATGTATGTATGAAGGCTCCAAAACTCTTTCCAAATTTTTCTATACAGGCTGCATTTATGCATATATAAAAAATTTAAAATTGCAATTTCCGCAAGGTTCACACGTATATACATACGAGTATAAGTATTATATATGTACATATTAAAATTTTCAAAATTTAGCGCATATTATGGGTGCAAAGGTATTTTTTATTTATCCATACATACATATAAATTTCATATCAAATTGCCAAACAATTCAGCAATTTCAATGCAAACACTGTATTAATACACTATGGCAATAACAAGAAAATTAAAATGTGTAACACAATTGAAATGATATCCTGTCTGCATAGCAATTTACATCCAATAATCGCAACATATTATGTACGTTAAGTTTTTTCTATCTGCTGGAAAGTTCGATATTTAGATTTTCATATTTTTGCAATTCCTTCGTAGATTTTATTCTTTTGAATCATATTAAGACTATGGTTTAGTTTATAAACAACCACTTAGTGGATTCTTGTTCTCCATTTTTACTTTAGCTTTTACTCTATACGATTAGTCCATTGAATGCAACATCACGCCTGAAGCCGTTTAAAGTACATACATAAGTACTGTAATATTTTTTATTTATTCAATTTAAAATACAAAACTGGCATTTCTTTTCCACTGGCTATATAATTTAAAGTTCAGAATTATTCATTATTAGCACAGGTGAAATTGATCGTGTTTTAATAATTTTAACTTCTCATATGTATACGAATATGTGCTTGCAAATAACAATTACTTAGCAACTTGAACAAAAATTTTACGATACCGATCGCAATTAAATTTTGTCTGTCCAACAATTGCGAATATTAAAAGTTTTTATTTACATACTTTAAATGCTTTTGAATTCTTTAACAACGACGGGTGATGTTTTTTAATAATAGTTAGTTCCCCATATTTTAAGCCTGACTAATTTGATAGTAACTTAATTTGTCGGCTTCTAATCTAAATTTCAAAAAAAAATTTAAAAAATTTCAGTTTTATATTTAAAAATTTTCACTTTCTTTTTATAAGAAAATATACCAATAATAATTTGAATATTTTATTAATTTATTACAATACCGCTATTTATAAAATGTACACATTAGTACGTAACAACTACACATAAAGCAGTGTACACATACTTATAAAAATACATATGTACTTTTCTCATTTGTACATAGTTATATGTAAATAGTAGCTATACTAATGAAATTAATACAAATTCATATAACGTACATAAATCATATGTTCCATTGGAAATCTTTATTATTTTGTCAAGAAAAATATTGTGTTCGTTATCAGCATTAATTTATTTTATTATGATTTCTACATTCACGTATGTATGTGTTTGTGATAACGCCAATTTTACCATAATATTTTTTAAATAGTTTATTTATAAATTAATTATGTATTTTTCTCCGTCGATTTTCCAAAACAAAACAGTTTAAAAATATTTATTAAATTAGTATAATTTAACTTATTTAATTATAAATAATAGTTAATTTAAAATTATAAAATAATAAAAATAACAGTAAAAAATATACTTAGGATCAAGGGACGCAATATTTTTAGAAAAAATTTAGATTAAAAAAAAATGCAAAATTTTTTCACTCAAAATGAAAATAATCGAAATCGCAATGGATGTAGATTTCAAAATCAAACAACTGTTACAAACAATAACACTGGTAAGATTTGTTTCATTAATTTGATCAACAATATCAAGTTCGTTTTTTAATAAAATTAAACTTATAATTTGGAATGTTATATTATTTTTTTTATTCTTTAAAAATAACAAACAGTTATATCGTAAATAATATATAGCAATATCGTAAAACTAACTGCCTTAAATATCGAAATGCAAGTTAAAAGTTGTTTATTTAGAACTAAATTATTCGCTGATTTTATCTATTTACTGAAAAAAAGTTTAATTAAACTTCCTTATATTGTACTCCCAAAGAAAACAATCAAAATTAATATCGCTCACTCAAATACACCTCTTATTATTATTTGAGGCAGTCGCTCCATTCTGAAAATATTCATTACGAAATTTATTCTTGTAGTGTTTCATATTGTAGTTAATTTTATTAGTAGATAGAATATTCACCTCGTCCTATTCTATAGTTTATCTATTTATATGCATGTATATTGTATATGCATTTACCTAAATACAACACTATCCTAATAACTTCTACACGGTACCTACTAATTGAACATTATAAATCCTAGTATGGTTAAAAACCATAAATGATTAAATTATTAAAAAACAAGGCTATTATTAAGAATGTTAATATAATAATTTCTATATTCATTAATCCTTAGTTTTAATTGAATATTTTTTTTTAATTTCAGGCAGAGGTAGTTGGACAGATGATATCGATTTTGATTTGAATGGCGATTTTAGCAATAATAGCTATCTAAATAAGTAAGTTAAAAAAAATTTCAAAAGATTCTTATTTTATTTTTTATCTTAAACGTATTTCTATATATATATATATATCGAATTTTATTTTAACAGCGCTGAACCATTTCTTTTTTCACCGGGATTGTCAGCCTTAAAACAAGAAATACCATCACCAAATGCTGTTGAACAACATAATCAGCAAAGAGGTGGTGATAAGACCCCACCGATAACAATAAATCATCAAGTTCATAATCAAATCGTACAAAATTCACCCACACAAGATACGGAAAATAAAAAACAAGATAATAACAATATAACACAAAGTAGATCACCATCAAATAATGCACGTCAAAATGTGGATCACCAAGTACAACAACAACAACAACAGCAAAGAATACCAAATTCACCACAAAATGGTTTATCTAATAATTTTCATAGTATTCTTCAACAGGACAATAATTTAGAAATTACTAATGCAAGACATAGTCCCAATCAGATTGATCCATTAAAACCTGATAATGTCAATGATGATTACAAGTTAGTTATTATTTAATATAAAGTACAATTAATCATTTTTGAAAAATGTATAAAATATTTTTTTTATTTTAATTAGATTCCAATATATTTTGGCAGCTGCAACGTCAATTGCCACAAAAAGTAATGAAGAAACTTTAACATATCTAAATCAAGGACAGAGCTATGAAATAAAATTGAAAAAAATTGGTGATTTAAGTTTCTACCGAGACAAGTTATTGAAGGTAATTATAATATATTTAATCAATATTTATGTGTGTAAACAATATGATTCTCGTAAATGAATACCGTTACACAATTCAGCAATTAGCATTTATAATTTAAATTATATAGTAACAGTGCATTCTGTCACTGTCATTCCGATGGCAGGGTCTCTCTCCCTTAATCGAAGTTTTTTTCTTAATATTTTAAAATATAAAGAAATTATTATTAATTTGTTATTAATACATAACATATTTTGTGAAAAATGACATTAAAAATCAATTATATTTTAAATATTCTTAATTTAAATGTAATTAATTTTTCAATCAATAAAATAACCATACATATATATTAGTACATGCATATTTATACATGAGTATGCAAAAACTTGAAAAAAGTAATGAATAATTACAAAAACAAAATAAAATGGATTTGTTGCGGCATTTACAATTTTATTTATTGGAAAAGTAAATGAATTGAAATTTACGTCATTTATTTAAAGATCGGCGATCACGTTTATTTGCGATAGAAAAAAAATGTTGCTTAATTAATATGACTTTTAAAATATTTTTTATTATTAACAGATCTTCAATAAATACTTGTTCATAAGAAATTTATATACATATGTATGTATATGAAGCTTCTTAACTAATAAATACTTGTATATATGAACCAGTTAGAAAGTTATGTTGTTTGTTATGAAACAAAACAAAAAATAAATTTATTATGGCATGAAAAATATAAATTAATTTTAATTGGCAATTGGCATAAGAACAGAATTTTCTTTTTCTTTATATTAATAAAAAAATTTTTAATTTTTTATTATTGAAATAAAATAGTGCAAAAAATATGTTTAATAACGATTACTCAAAAAAGAAATATTTTGAGATCATTTTTATAAATTTTGAAATTCACTAAAATATTCTAAATATTTCCATTATTAAATTTACATATACACATAAATACATAAATACATACCTCTTTTAATACACAAAAGGCGCAACAATAAATATTTAAAGAAAGTTGACTGACATCTGTCACACAAGTCAGGACAATTATTAGTGTCACACATTTCATTTTCATTTAATTTCTCTTTACTTTTTAAATTTGTTAAACATTGAATTAATTTTAATAAAAATTGATTTTTAATTTATTGACGCTATTAGAATGTTATTTGTATTTAAAATCTGATAGTTTTTAAGAACGTACCACGAACAACAGTTGTCACGCTTAAACAAAATAGAAATCCATTCAGTTAAAATTATATTTGAAAATGATTGATGTGATTGCAGACACTATTTGGTTATTACGATTCATAATATGAATTGGGTACTCTTGCTATTTTGAAGTAAGAGAACAACGGGAAATAATGTAAATTCCACCTATTTACACTACTTTCAATTTTGAACTTTTTATTCGCTTTTCTCTAATCTATTTCTAATTCCACAATTTAAAGAGACACTCTTTCTCAAACAAATGTACTTTTTAACTAATCTTTCAACCAATAATTGGTCCACGTTATAATAGAATGCAAGTATTTTGAATTTACTCAAATAAATTTTGTGAAAAACAAAATTTATTTGACAATTCAGCGATTATAATATATACAATTCAGTTTATGAATTGCAATTGCTGAATTCAGGGAAATCCAAATAATAAATATTGACTAGTATTTTATCCTTTATGCTGTGGAGACGCGCCTCGCACTAAGCGGGAGACACAATAAATCGATTACGTGGTCGCGGTGCACTGTTACCTCCTGTTTACAATCTACAATCTGCAATCTATGCTTGAATTCTTAAGAATTAAAAAGGAATTTATTTTTTGTTTTTGGTTGAATAACGTTTCATTTCTTTGCATGATGACAACCTTTTTTTTACTTTATTAACATTCAAATTGCAATCGTTTATCATTTCATTTTTTTGTAATTTTTTTTTGTAATTCTAATTACAATATTAACACCCATTTTTTAAATATTATATGTATGTAACTATTTCTAAAATATTTGTACTTCAAGTTGCTTTTAGAAAATAAAAAAAAAAACTAATATATTATTTATGTAACTAAATAATTTATTACAATATTTATTTTATAGTTTTGCATAACAATTTGAATCACTTACAATAATAACTAAATTTCTATATATTTTTCTAATTAATTACAGAGTGTTATTAAAATATGCTTTCATGAGCGTCGCTTACAATATATGGAACGTGAACAAATGCAATTATGGCAAGCATCTAGACCAGGCGAACGTATTATTGAAGTTGATGTACCTTTATCATATGGCATAATACATGTAACACAATCAGTAAATTCAAATTTATTAAATACTGTTGAAGTTTTATGGGATCCAATGAAAGAAATCGGTGTTTACATAAAAGTTAATTGCATATCAACTGAATTTACCCCAAAAAAACACGGCGGCGAAAAGGGTGTACCATTTCGTATACAAATTGAAACATATTTAGAGAATGCAAATGCAACTTCTTTAACAAATCCTAATAATAATAATAATACTAATAATAACAATAATAATAATAATAGTAACACAAATAATAATAATAATAATAATAGTAATAATAGCAATAATAATAATAGTAGCAATAATATTACCAATAACAATAATAGTAACAACAATAATAGTAACAATAATATCAGCAATAGTAATAATAATAATAATAATAATAATTCCAATAATAATAATGCTGGCAATAATAATAATCAAAATACAAATAATAATAATATAAGTACCGCAAATACAATTGGTGATAATTTAAGTAAACCAATTCATGCAGCTGCTTGCCAAATCAAGGTAAACAAATAATAGCATCTTATATATATATACTATTATTATGTACATAATATTAGAAAATGAGTACATTTATATATATATGTATTTTATATTTTTGAACAGGTGTTTAAATTAAAAGGTGCTGACCGAAAACATAAACAAGATAGAGAAAAAATACAAAGAAGACCACCATCTGAACAAGAAAAATATCAGCCAAGTTATGAATGTACTATTTTAAATGACATTTCATTAGATGCACTTAATCAATCTAGCGCTGGTTGCTATAGTCCTGAATAGTACGTATATATATACATAATTTCCACTTTTTTCTTCAATTAGATTGCAACATATGTACATATTGTATTTGACTATTTAACTAACATAAATTACATAAAAAACATAATTATGTTTTGTAAAAAAATTTAAAAAATTTATATAAGAAATAGAAAATTTTATTTATATACATATTTATTATAACAACAAATTAGTTCGAAACCATAAAGAAATTACATATTTTTATAATATTCATTCATTCACATAACGTATTTAAAATACAAACCAAATCTTGCATTAAATTTAATTAACACATGTCAAAAAGTAGATAACTAAAATTTATTGAAATTATTTACACAACTTTTTAACTACTGTTTACATTATGTAAACATTATTGTGTACACAATGCATACATACGTAATAATAATATATTCAAAGATTATCATGTGTTTGTCAATTGTAAAAATAAAAGGTCATTACAAACTATTTCTAAAATCAAATATAAATTTTGATATTTCCATTCCAACAAAGTTCAATAAGGTTAGCTAAAGTTATATAAGAGTTGCAGCTTATGAATTATAATTGCTGAATTGTACAGCAAAATAATTTTACTATAATTTTGAGTTCCTTTTTATTGTAAACTATTATTAAATTATTTATATCCTCTTTACATAATTTGCAGTCTTTTAAAAGTTAGTAATATTTTTGCCGAATTAACAGATGACCTAAATTTTGTTGAAATTCATTACTTTTTTCATCAATATAATCAGAATTCATCAATATAAAGTAGATTTTGTTAAGTATTAATTTTTTATACAAAAATATAAAATTCAACAATTCCTTATAAAAAAAAAGTTGCAATTAGTTATTATAAATTATGTAATTAATTTAAAATTATTTGTTTTTCTTTTATAAAATTTAAAAAGGTTTTTGGAACATGTGTTTTATTTTCGTTATGTATTATATATATACATACATTTGTAGATATATATGCCAATTTTAGTATTTAACTTGTAACAGTAAAATAATACAACGCAGTTCACCACAAATAAATATATTTAGGTATATATTACAACTAAATTCACACTCGCATAAAAACAGGTTTCAATTAAATTATTTTTATGAATAATTGAATAATGTTAGTAGCTTAAATTAAATTTTATTAATTAATTTTTCATTTTAAATTATTTTGTTTAAATGTTTTCTTATATATATATTTACTCATACAAATTAAAAATCATATACATTTACAATAACTAAATACAATACATACAAATGTTTATATACTTGTTATACTGCACAATATAAAAAATATAGAATATTATAAATTAATAATTATTATTGTTAAATATATAACATCATTTTAAAACAAGAAAATATATATGCATATGCATATTAAAAATATAGTATTTATTTAAATTAATAAACGCGATTTAAGAGAACTACATATACATATAGACGTTTATATTCAGAAAACCTGTCATTTTATGCATAATTTACTGGTTAATATGGTTATTCCATTATAGTTATTTTGAATATATACAAACTTACATATTGTATTTATGTTCAAAATTCAATGGAAAATTTCCAAATTACGATACCTACACATATTTTTATACCCAAGTATTTTCTATTATTTCTTCTTAAAAAAAAAGTATTAGTATGGCTCAATTTTTTCTTCAAAGCTATTTATTTACTAATTCTGTCTTATATATACATATATATATATATACATATATATATATGTATGTATATTATGTAGGATAAATGAATTTGAAGATATTCAATTCTTATAAGTCAGTTTAAAATATAAGATACAACAGACACATACATAATGTATTTATATACGAAATATTTTAATTCACCTGCGTAAATAAAAACGAAAAAAAAAAAACAAAAAAAAAAATAAAAAATCTCCGAGAAATTTACTTAAAATTTTTTAACATTGAATTAAATTACTAAACAGTTGTATAGTTACAATATTGAAATCGGCAAAATCAAAATATAGAGTAGTAGAAAGAAAGAAAAACAAAATCTAAATAAACAATATAATTTAGCTACATATTTAAACTTCTTTATATTTATTTTGAAATTTAATAATTTTTAAAAATAATATTAAATAAAATACATGCATATAAATACACGCGAATGTACATATACAAATGTGTGTACAATTTAAATAAAAATTTATGTTAATTTGACCTCAATTAATTGGTATACAAATATATATAATATTATATACACAAACATATATACAAACTACATGTTTACATATATACGTATCATTTTATTATATAAACAGAATAATAAATTTATTATTTTTATCACAATTAAGTTTACCTTTTCTAAAAAAAAAAAAAAGTTATGTGCATCATGTACATAATATATATACATATACACCTATATGTATACATTTACATTTATGTATTTATATATGTTTATATAATCTTTATTTATTTATTTATTTATTTATTTACATGTTTTAATTTTTTTTGTTTTTAATTTAAAGTATGAAAATTTGGCCAAACTCACCAGTTCATATGCCAAAATATGAAGGAATATTACCATTTCCAGCTGGTACTGGAGCTTCTAGTCCAATAGCAATCAATAATGTTACTTCAACAAATCCAACAAATAATTTAAAATTAATGGAACAAAATATTATGGTTTCACCACAGCATGTTGACATGGATGAATTTGTAAGTACATTTATTATATATATATATGTACATATGCATTTTTTAAATGAATTTTCAAACTTAACAAAATTATTCACATTAAAAATTCAATTTTAGATTACAACTATTTCTAAAGATTCATCACCTATTCAAGTATCGCAATGGTTAACATATCATAGATTAAATGCTTATTTAAATACATTCGCTCAATTCTCAGGATCAGATATATTGAGGTAAATTTTTATGTGAGAATTAAAATGTGTATACAAAAATAAATACAATTTTTTTTTATCTCTATAATTTAAAAATATTAAAAAATAATTTTAGAATGTCTAAAGAAGATCTTATTCAAGTTTGTGGTTTAGCTGATGGTATAAGAATGTTTAATACATTACATTCCAAGTATAAATTATTTATGCATAATTATTAATTTATATTTTAATTAAGGTTTTTTTTTAATATAGGCGTATAACACCACGTTTAACAATTTATGTAAGTTTAGATGGCAGTAATTATAATGCCATTTATTTAATCTCGAATACTGTGAAAGAATTAACTCAAAAATTGTTCAAATTACCTGGATTTTTCGAGATGATTTCCAATAATTCCAGTTCAGTTGAAAGTAGTAATGGTTATCCTGGATGGGGTAAGTTTTGAGATTGTGATTCTCTTATTGAATTATGTATAAATTTATTTTTTAATTATTTATTAAAAATAAAAATATTAGTTATATAATGCAATTGACATAAAATAAAAAAAAAATAATTAATTAATAATAAAATTTTCCTTTAATTCATTTATTATAGTTTCATATTAATGATAATATATTATTTGTATTATTTTTTTAGGAATGATATCTAAATACTCAGGAAGTGGATCAAATATATATAATGATACTTCGAAATTATTCATTTTTACGACAGGACCATCCGGGATTCATGTAATGATAACTGATGAAGTTCTAAATAATGCCATTAAAGATGAAAGCTTATTCACTTTAGAAGCACAAAATGGAAAAATTTTAATGAAAAATATTATAAAATCAGATAATACAATTTAAAGTACACATAATACATTTAATATAAAAATAAAAAGAACAAAAAATTATTAAAGTCAATAAAATTATGTAGAAATAATTTTTTTTTATATTCACGTTTTTAAAATTTAAGACTCGTTTATACAAAATATTTTAAATTTACAAATTTTTAGCATTTTTAATTTATTTTTATTTTTTTATTATATTTTTGGTTGATGGTTAGTTAATTTTACTGCCCTGGAATAAGATTAAGATATTTGGTAACTTAAAAAAATCCATTTTTGTTTTTCTAAAGAAAAAGAAATAAATATAAAGTAAAATTGTATAAAATAAAATTTAAATGTTTAATTTAAAAGCAAGTCATATTGAGGTTAAACAATTTTATCTAATGAATTTATATCTAGCATTTGATGCTCGTAAAAGTTGAAACGCATATAAAAAAGTTAAACACATTTAGTAGATCTTTTATTATGTTTAAAAATAAGAATAAATTAAATTTTTTTTAGATTTATTCTCTTGCTTTTAAATTACACTATATGCATATGTAAATTTTTATCATACTAAATAAGAGTGGTTACAATATTTGTATAGATACTTCTTATTTCGGGTCAGATACATTACATAAAAATTTATATTATGAAATAAAAACAAAATATATTAAGAATATTAAAATTTTTTTAAAAATTAAGAATCAGTTATCATTCAAGAAAGGATTGAGCTTAAATAAATATTATATTTGAATAAGTTTTTAATTAAAAAAAAATGTGTAAAATCAAAAATTAAGAATAATACATGAATTATGCTTCTGTAATTAAAAATAATTTTCATTTTTTATTAAACATATAAGCTATAATTGTGAAACATTTAATATGCGACACAAAAAAGTTCAATCTTTATATAAAATAAGATGAAATAAATGTTCGTCGCATCAGCCTTTAATTAGTTTTCTATTATAGCCATAAATTTAAGTGCATAGTTATGATACAGGATTTCTAAAATAATATATATATATATATATATATATATATAGTTTTCTTCATAAATTGTACTTACATAATATGAGAAGAGGTAGGTACGTACAAAAATATGGCTTATAACACATTTTTGTATACAAAGATTACATTGAGATGTTTACATAGAAATGTACATATATTAAGTATAATATGTAAATATGTATACATGTATACATAAATACATGATTAACATTTAAAAATAATGTAATTTAATTTTTTCTTTTTAATAAAATGGTGTTAGATTAAGTAACAAATCGTTTTTCAGTATTCCTTCAATAATATGGAATGTATGGAATGTATGCAAATATGTAAGACTTATACTCGGTCTATCATGGTAACATCTTTAAAACCTTAGCTAGACAATTAAAAAATGATAGTTCAAGTAAAATAACATACAAGGCATATACTTATTACTTAAAAAATTATAATCATACAATAATCATACAATAATAGATAAGAGTGATTGGACAAAAGAAAAAAATTACTGCTTCCTTAAACTAAAATAACTTTAATGAAAAACTATATTTAAAAACTTATAGTCCTCGCATTGATCATTAAGTGATTAATCTATTTTTGAAAGAACTAAGAACTAGCTAAAACAAAATATGTATGTATATATGTGCACGAGTTGCGTGCATGTGGGTATATGTAGTTTTTTTAAAGCGTAAAATTTCTAATGCCCATATTTGTTAGACTTTTAAAATAATAAGGTGTCGATAGATTTTATTCCATAGAATCCAGAGGGAAAAGAAAAAGTACGCAGTTTAATGAGCCAAAAAGTCTTCTTCTTAGCATTATCTTGATTAATATATACATAAGTATATACATACATAAAGTCGGACCTTCATTATACAAATCACCATTTTGCCACAAAACTAATTTCTGTTAGAGTTTTTATGGGTTATGAATGAGAAAAAAATTTATGTTACAAAATCAAATGAAATAACTTGTGTTAAGAAAAATATCGTCTTACGGGAGTTCATGGGACAAAAGTTTGAATGTAATGTATACATAAGTATGTATATGGACAGGTATAATATTTATTATATGTTCTCAGATTTCTCGTAAAATTTAATCTGATATGAAACTATGGTCCTTGTTATGATCGGCCAAGCGAATGAAATTTTTGACGAATATAAATTTTTGGTATTATGATTAGCGAATTTAAATTTTAGGCGAATGAGCTGTCAAATCTGTCGAATGAAAATCAAAATAATACATAAATGTTTTTTTTATTTGATATTATAGCGTTTTATAGTGATATAATGAAAAAATCTAAACTATCTGTAAAGTAAGTTCATAAAACTCTAAAAAATTATTGCAAAAAATATACATAGATTGTTCGATAATAATTTAAGCGTGAAAAAAACGAACCAAAAACAAATCGAGCATTTAATTAAATTATTGGGGAACAACCCCGGCATTGCTAAAGGGATAGGATAATTCAATTGTTTGTGAGAAAAAGCAAAAACAATGTACATACATACATATGTGCGGTGTTTATTTTCGGTAGGTCTTTTGATATCTTGTGGAAGCAACATTTTGGATCTGCCGAATAAAAGCGTTCGCCGACCATAATTTAAAATTTCATTCGACCCGCCTAGCAATTCGCTTCGCCGATCATAACAAGGGTATATGATTACACATCAAAATTTCATAATATTCAGAGTTAGTTCCTTCACGATATAAAAACTAAAAAACAACTCAGTTAAGTGGAAAATAACCGTCACACTTTTTGTATGAAAATGGCAGTCAGCCAATTCCTATTATAATATGTCAATTGACTTAAACTGAAATTTAAAAATATGGTGAATAGTTTTAATTTTTGATTTGCTATTGTTATTTTTATTGTGAATTGATTCTGCCATGCATAACTCCTGCTAAATGTCATTTGCGAAAACTGTCAAACCACGTATGTTGTTTTTTATTTTATTGCTCTCACTAAAGAAAAAAATATAATTAAATTAGTTGTTTATATGGCTTAAAATTATGTTTGCAAATCTGAAGAATAAACTTTTGGAAGAAGTGAAGGCTTCTCCATCCAAATTTCAACAATTTGCACAAGCCGCACAGGTAATTTAAAAAATTATGAGCTCATCTGCACTTATAAACTTTACAGCATATGAGGTCGCCTCTTACTTACTCCAAAATATTAAATTTGTTATTAGTTTGTCATTGTTTGAATTTTTAGGCAGCAGTTTCATCATCATCTAATAATGTCGCAGAAACTGTAAATGCAAGCGACGGAAATTTTTTTAGTATAACTGAAGAAGGTAAACTATTTATGCGTTTGTTTTTAAATATTTTGTTTATTATAGTTTCAAAGTTTTATACGTCATTGTTTAACAATATTTTTAAGATACACCACAAAATTCTCCACAAAAGGCTATTAAAGAAGCACAAACTATTGGGATTTCTTCCCAAAATGCATCATCTTTACAGTCCACACAAAATTCTTTACCTCCTTTAAACAATGGGTCAAATAAAATGCAGCGTACAAGAAAATTATCGAACTCATCCATGGCCAGCGATATCTCTTTTCGTACAGTACCGAATTATGAAACCACAACGGTATGTCATTGAAAATCATATCAGGAGAAAAACTACATATTATGAAAAAATTTTAGATTTACCATTTGCAATCTGACTTAGATGTCTCCGGAAGTGAGCATGAAGACTCTGCATCCACAACACATTTAGATATAATTAGCAAAGAACAACTTCACGATGCCTACAGACGGGCTTTAGATCGGTATCAAAAATACAGAACAAGGTATACAGATTTGGCAAAACGTTACAGAGAACTTGAACGTGATTGCACAAAAGCGCGGGTAGGTACAAATTTTTCGTAATTAGAATTCCAGTTCCCTTATGCGCGACATCAAAAATTTTTTTTTGAACACAGGCGGTTTTAGTAGAAACTCAAGACAAAGCGATACGTAAGATTAGTGAACTTCGTGAACAGTGCAGCTTGGAACAACAAGCTAAGGCCCATCTCGAAGAAGCATTAAGAATGGAAATGGATGATATGCAATGTAAAATCAAAAGTTATGAAACAAAATTAGAGCATCAAAATCAAAATTTTCCAAAAATGGGAGAGGAATCTTTGGTAAAGTTAGATGATCAGGCAAATTTAATTGTTTTAGAAACTGAAAATAATCAAGCCACCGATACCGCCCCATCATTGAATTATGAAATAATTTTGAAAGAAAAATCCGAACAGATTTCGCAGTTAGAATCGCATTTAGAAATAGCGCAAAAGCAAATTGAGGATTTAAAAAAGCAAGAAGAAGAGAATACAATACAATTAGCGAAAAAAAAATTAGACATTTATTCGGAATTAGAAAGCAAAGAAAAAGAAATTAATGATTTAAAAAACTATCGAAGGAAATATAATGAACTCGAATTGAAATGCCAACAATTGCAAAAAGACAATACAATTTTGAATAAACAAATGACAGAATTAAGCGAGTTAAAGGAAAAGATGCAACAAATTGCTTCACAAAAACAGGAGTTGGAAGCCAAAGCAATTTCGCACGATCATATAATAAAAGAACTTAAAAAAACTATTAAAGATAAAGATGACAACATAGACAATTTAAAAAAAGCGTCTGATGAAAAACTTCAATCAGTTTTAGAAGAATACGAGGAAAAAATTCAGAAATTTCAATCCCAAATTGATAGTCTTTCTTCCAATAAACCTAATAACAAAACTGAATCTGATCCAACCAATATTGATAGCGAAATATGTAAAATCCAAACTGAAAATAACTTACTGAAAACTAAGTTACAAGAATTGGAATTAGAAAAGCAACATATTATCATTGAAAAAGAAGCTTGCGAAAACAGGGTTAAGGAATTGTCGACAAAAATACAAACAATTAGCAAAGAAAATAAAGAAATTGAATCGAGGGAAATAAACAATTTAAGACATACTCTAGAAAATCTTACATCTGAAAAGCTGGAATATCAAGAGAAGGTAAAAAATAACATTCTTCAACAATAGTTTAGTTAGCTAAAAACTTTAAAAAAACCAAAAATATTTAATTAAATTTCTAAAAACTTAAATTATTTTAGGCCGAAAAAGAAAAAACTGATTTGAACATAAAAATTGGAAACATCCTTTCTGATATAAATAATATGCAAATAGAAATTGAAGAAGTGCGTTGTTCACATTCTCAGCTTGAAAAAGAAAAATTAATTTTAGAAAAAAAAATTGAAAATATGCATAAGGAAAACTCAGAAGCTTTGGAAGGTAGTCAGCGTTGGCAATCAATGGTTAATAAAGCAGAAAATAAATTAAAAGAAGTTGAAGAAAAATTACAAAAGGTGGAATGTGAAAATTGTCTGTTAGCTGAAAAAAATCGCTCATTGGAAGAGAATTCGAACAGATTGGAAAAACTAATAAGTGAAAGTGATGCCAATTCACAAAAACAAGTATCATTCGAAAGTGAATGTAAAAAGGATAAAGATAATATTAAAAAGTTGGAAGAGGATCTTGAACAAAAATTGCGTGAAAATGCCAACCTTCAAATTGAACGAGAAAATTTAGAAAGATCTTTACGCACAAAAACAGAGTTTTGCAAAGAGTTAATTTCGGAGAGAAATAGCTTTGCCGATTCAAACAAAATTATGGAAATTGAGTTGAATTCATTGAAAGAGGAAAGCAACAAGCTATTAAGTCAGATTAATGAAATAAATAACAGCCTTAGAAAGGAAAATTCGATTGTTAACGAAACTTTAAGAGACATTAAAAAACAAAACAAATCATTAACAATTGAAAACGAAAAATTAGATTCATCAAATAAAAGAATATTTGAAGAGTTAACTTTGATTAAATCTCTCATTTCAAATGAAGATGACAATGATATTGCAAGTACTATTAGAAATTTTAAGAAAAACTATGAACAAATAGAAAGTGATCTGAAATTATTAAATGAAAGTTACAGCTTACTAAAGGAGCAACATTCCGAAAACATTATTAAGTATGAGAATACCATTAAGGACAATACACACCGTTTCGAAAAGGAGATTAAAGGGTTTAATCAAAAAATATCAGTTATTTCTGATGAAAATGAAGCACTTAAACAACAAAATCGATTACTTCAAAAAGAACTTGATGCACTGAATAAACAGAAGCCTGCGCGATTAGCTGAGTTAGAAAAGCTTTTAAAAGAAACTAAAGATCATAACCAGACATTGCAACAATCTGTCCAAAATGCTACAGATCTTGAAAAGAAACTGCAAAACTATGAACAGTTAAAAATTGAAAACGAATACTTGAACACTTTAACTAACCAACTGGAAACAGATTTACAGAAACTAAAATCGGAGAATTCAAAATTGGATGAGGAAATAAATCAATTGAAATCTAATTTACGAACGCTTAACAGTGAGTTGAGCGTTGTAAATATATCGAATGACAATTTGAATAAAGAAATAATTAACCTTACCAGTAAAATCAAAAATGAGAAAGAAAATAGTGAGAAAAATTTAATTGAAAATGAGGCAACACAAAAGGAGCTTTTAAGTAAGTGTAGTTAGTTTGAGTAATGTGCACCATATAAAAAATTTAATTGAATTTTATTTAATTTTTTGTTTTAGTGTATGAGGACAAATTAGCTAAATTAACCGTAATTTATGAAGAAAATCTTGAGTCTTATAAAAATATTGTCTCGGAAAATTCACAATTAAAATCAAAATTAGAATCATTGCAAACATCAAGTGAAAAACAAATTAATGAACTAAAAGAAGAAGTATTACAAAGCAAAAATTCCATTCAAGAACTAATAATTAATCTACAGGAGTCCAAAAAAATTATAGAACAATTTCAAAATGTTCACGTTGAAAATGAAAAATTAAAAGATCGTATTAAAGAAATGGAAATTGACGTCATAAAAAAAGTTTCAAATGTAAAACTTGAACAACAAAAGCTACTAGCGGAAACATCGCAAAAAGAAAAAATTGAAATGGAAAACCTACGAACAACAAATCTTACACTTCAATCTGAACTTGAAAGTTTAAGATCCAGTTCTGCCTTAGAAGTAGCTAATCTCAATCGAGAAATTGAAAATTTATCCCAAAATTCAAAAGAAATGCACATTAAGTTATCCGAATTTGAAAGTTTAAAAGAACAAGGAAAGCAGTTATCTATTGAATTAGAAAAACTTAAATCTCAAGATTTAGTAAATCAAACAGATAATCAGCAATTGCAACATAATTTGCAGGATTTGCATTTAATTAAGCAAGAACGTGATGAGTTACAACAAAAATTCAATAAAATAATGCATGAAGTACAAGACGTTTCTAATAGAAATCTGTTTTTGGAACAACAATGCGAAAATGTTTTAATATTAGAACAATCTAACGAAAGACTAAAACTAGCTAATGAAAAACTATCTAGACAACTAGATGAAACTTTGGTAAAATATTTAATTTTCAAATTATATGTTCTAGCATTGTAGTTATCTATTTTTACAAAAAATTTAAAATATTTATACATTCCCATTTGTTATGTAAAACATTTTTTGTACTTTAATTTGAAACAGGTTTCAATACATCATAATGAGGGGATTCAAGCTAACACAGAATTTGAGTATTTAAAAAATATTATGTTTCAGGTACTTAAATTAACGATTTATAATTTTTATTAGATGTTAATTTTTTTTCTAACTAGTATTTAACTGGAACTGTAAATGGAAATAATGAAACTTTAGTGAAAGTAATAGCAGCTGTCTTAAAGTTTTCTCCACAACAAACACAAGTAGCTATAGAAAAAGAACATCAAAGACACTCTTTAGTAAGCATTCCATTACTTCAAAGAATTTTCCAATAATATATTTTTTTATGTTTTAGCTGGGGCAAATTAACAAACTCCTCTAGCAGGAAAACGAACTTGTATGGTAGTTTAGGCAAAGTTATTTATAAATTTTACCGCAAAAGAAATTTTATTCATATGCAATAAAGAAAACAATAATTTAAAGAATTTCGTAAAATTAATAATAAACTACAAATCATAAAAATAAAAATAGTACGTACCTTAATAAAAAATAGTTTCAGTTTAATGATTTTGCAGTTCTACACTAGAAAGCCTTCATGTAAATGGTGTATAATACACATACATATACTGCAAAATCAGAAATATGAAATAAAAATTTTCGGAGGAAAATCAAATTTTTCATATTTACCTAATGTATTTAAAAAAATCATTCGAAACTAAAATTTTTATTTATTTATTTATTTTTCCATTTGTTTTTTTTTTTTTTTTTGGCTAGTTACTGCTTAAAAACAAATTTCGAAAAGCTACACAGATGTATTTGATAATTGTAGATGGTATATGTATAATAAAAATTAAATTAAAATATATTAACACGTATGTATATTATATTTTTAATCAGTAGTTATGTTTAACATAATAAATTTATGTATGTACTAAAAATTATATAATTATATGTGATCATATAAAATGTAACAATTGTTTATTATAAATTCGTCAGTCTCAATTTATTTTTTAAATTAAAATCAAAAAGCAATGTCCAAACATTTTCTTGTTAATATTATTTAAATAATATATGGTTTTTTAAAATAATGTATAAAGCTTATTTAAACTAAAAAAATTTCAACATTTTATCTTTATATACGTAAAAAATATTGAATTTAGTATGAAAGGTTTTGATTTTTAAAGGGTCAATCTGAATGCGCAAAGGTAGAGTATAAATATTTTAATATTTTTACTTTTATACGAGTATAATGTAAGTACGAAACGTAACAAACTTTCTTTGTGATTCTTAAAAATCTCAAAGCATTTTTAATGTCTCTTAAATAAAATTCTGAATTATAAATACAAATTTGTACATAATTCTTCGGCGATAGAATTAGAGATGTTGTACAGCAGCTATTTTCACCATCATGTCCATACGTCCAAATTCGCTTACGTGTGTTAGAGAAATTTCCGGTTTTTTTAATTTAACAAATTTTTTTAATTGAGATATGTAGTTCTTAAAAAATATTTAGCGAGGGAAATAAACAGAATTAATTAAGAAAAAAGGATTTTCAAACTCCATATTAAAATATAAAACCATAATTTCGATTTCGAATTTTACATATGAAAAATTTTTTACTTTTGCACGTAGCAAGCAAAATTCATAAACTCTGAAATTTCATAGAATACGACAGTACTTTGAAATTAAAACAAGAATTTTAATAATTTACTTATTTATTAACTTATTTTTTTTTTTTTGTATATAATATATAAGAATAGTTCTAATCTTATCATGAAAATATAATTTTAATATTAACAACATTAGAATAATATTTTCACGAACAAACTCTAGCTTAACTCTAAGTAAAATTATGTGCATGCAAAGACGCACAACTTATGAAATCAACCACTCATTTAGAAAACCAAACATAATTTTTTTTATGTTTGTACCCTAAATAATTGATCTCTGTTAATAACTAGAAAAGTAAACATGTTTCTATTGAATTAACAGATTTAATTTTAACTTAATCAGATGTTAAAACTAATATTAAAAAGAAGAAATACATTATGCTTATATATGTAATTAATATTTTAATAAAATATTGTCCTATAATATATATTAAAGTATGTTATCTACATATATGTATGCATGTATATTTAAATATTATTAAAAAAAAAAACATATAAAATTTCAAGATATTAAAAGTATTTTAACTTTTTCAATAATAATGAAATTTTTAATCTAAATTAAATTTGATATAAAAAATTTTCGAGACCACATTTTAAACTGAAGTCTGAAGTGCAAGTATAATGATATCAGGAGTATACGAAATGTTTGCATAAAAATTCCATAAAAATTTATTGATTTTATCTAATGTAGTATATTCGATGCTAGTCAAAAAACTAACATATAATAAATAGATATATAGAAACTCATAAACTTTTTATTGCTTATTTCGTCGATATGATATTGTTAATGCATAAAAATAAATCAATGTTTATGTGATTTTTGATAGACGGCATCCGTTATAGGCCCGTATTTTTTAATTATTCTAATAAGCCAAATGATATCTTGTCCTTCTTAAATGCAATTGAAGCACAGTTTATATATCTAACCGCTTCAATGAATCCTATTGTAAAAATAACAAAATCGAATGTAGCTTTTGAGATATAACCTACGAAGCCTCTTCTTTAGATATCAAATAAAATAAGAAGTTTTTACTATAACGAGAACCAAATACATAGTTCAGTTTCTCAAAAAATTTCTTCAGCTATATGTAAATAACGTATATCAATCATAACCAAATCACAAATATTCAAAACGATACACATGTATAGAGATTTTTTTATGTTAAAATAGAAAATTTTTTAATTTTTTTGAAAGTGGTAATGAATAACTCTTTAAATATTTAGTATTTATAATATATCAGATAATATTACATTCGTTGGTATATTATGATAAAGTACATGGTACATTCGTTGGTATAAATGATAAAGTCAAAACATAACATTACCAATAGGTACAGAAATCTGCAATATGTTATCAACACTGTTCAAAATTTTAATTAATTAAATAATTTAGGAAGCAATTGAATTTAGTAACAAAATTCAAGTATTGAGTAATTATTATATCGACTTGTTATTGCACAAATAATTTGGAATTATGCGATATTTTTATACATAATTTTTAATTCTACTTTTCGATTTTAGGATCAAATTAACCAATATATTCTATTTCTTCTAACCAATATATACAGTTAATTAACACTGTCGATCCTTTTGTAAGTACACTTTTCAAATATTAAATATGTTTATATAATAAAGATAAACTAATATGCGTAAAAATTTTAAAAACTAATGTAAATATTATGTATAATTAGAATCAAATACAAAATCTACAATATTAAAAACCTATAACATTAAAATTTCAACTAGTAAAATTTACATTTTAGTCAATGACAAATTGTAACTAAAAATATTAGATAAAACCAGATATCATGAGGCATATTAGTAGGACTCTAAAAGTAATTAAGTAACGAAGACAAAAAAAAAAATTTAGATGTAGAAAAATATTTGTTTTTAGACTTCGTAATTTATTCATATGACACCAAAAATGCTACTAATATTTCATATGATTCTTTGATATTTATGAGAATTTCAAAGTTTTTTGATTTTAAATGGATTGACAAAATTGAATTTTTACATAAATATAGGTACAATTTCATTTTATATGGCAACATTTTTAATTCTAATTAGGTATCAATTACAACTTAAATTAATTACGAGTTGCTTTAATTCTTCTTATATTTTGTATTTTCAACGCAGTAATTTATATATGTATAATTTTTAAAAAATATTCATGCAGTATACTGCAAATAAAAACATTGTTATATCACTATATGTATTTGTTAAAAATAAAAATCTTTCTATCCTACAAATTCTAATTTAATTTTTTGAGATAAAATTTTTTTTAAATAAATATATTCTATGTTGTGACAGACTTACTTTTTAATTTTTTCGTGACAAATATTGCATATATTTTGTTGTATTTCTGGCATTTTTTACCAATTCATTATCTTTTAAATTATCCCATTTATTATCGGAAGATGAATAATTTTCATGTAGGCTGCGGGTGTCATCCCAATCTTGTGATCTGCGACGATAAGAATTACGGTTTTTTGGACGGCCCCTACGCTGCCATGTTCCAGAATCCACACTAGACAAACTGTAGTGACTACCGTATTTGTCATTATTGCTACGGCCAAAATTTCTTGATTGTTGCGGTCGTTGGTTATTTGATAAATCAGCATTACTACCTTTGTCAGTACTTTTCTTAGAGTTAAAATTTTCAGTTTCATTGCTTCCATCATTAAGATTGATTTCAGGTGTCTGATTTCGGAGCAAATTATTCTTGCTGCTTCGAAAATTTTCTCCATTGTAATTGTCGTAACTCCCTTGTCTATGGCTGCGGGGAAATGTATGATTCATAGAAGAACCTCTACTTTCAGAGCCTTTAGAACTGGATCTATCGTACTTTTTCTCTTGAGCGGCTATACGCCATGATTGATTGTCAAGATTGCGAAAACGGGGAGGACGATCATAAGTGTTACGACTCCTGTTATTATTACCATTGTTGTTGTTGTAATTATTGTCTTGTTGACTACGACTGCTACTGCGTCGGCGACCATCATAAGAATTATATTCTCCACCTCGATCCCAACTGTTTCTATCGACTGCAGACATTCTGTCCCGACTGGAACTATCTATATCGCGCCCACTTGTCCGAGAGTGTCTATAATCACCGGCATTATACAATTTTATGCTACCACCTTCACTTCTTACACTTGATCTGTCTTCTTCGAAATTTGCACTATAGCGGTTTGAGTTTCGGTTGTTTCTGTTTACATATTTATCGTTGTGAGACCCATTATACGGGCGTGGTTGTGATGATGCTTGTCTAATGGAAAATGTGTTGTTTTGTGGAGACATTGACCTATTTTTATTTATTCTGCGGGGAAAATACTCACGACGGGAAGATGGCTTCACGTTGTCTTGCTCTTCGTCATATCTAGTTGGGCGAGGGGGCAAGGATTGGTACTGGAAATCGTCATGAATATTAATATTATTTTGACTGCCGCATAAACTGTTGTTGTTTGATGCCATTTCAGGGACTTCTTGCGCTTCTAGTTCATACATACTATCTTCACAAACTTGCTCACTCCATTTTTTATTTATTACAGGTAATTCTTCAAAACTTTTTTTTTCCGAATTGGTATCATGCTTTTGGTTTTCCTCTTCCAACAAATATTTGGTATACATTTCTTCTAAAGCTGGTGTTAAACTTGTAAAGTTATTATAATATAAATCTAACGTCATCAATAATAAAGCCTTGACCGACGCATTCAAATTGGGCTGTTCAATTAAATTTTTCCTAACATAAAACAACAGCGTATTTAATTCATTTTTGTGATTTGAGCGTAAAATTGAACCGTTTAAGGTAACCTGAAACAAACAGAAGAATTAAAAATAATTGGAGACAATTAGATAGAAAAAGTAACCTGTGACAAAATCAACTTTGAAAGTTTAAAATCCATGTTAGGAAATTTCAAATTCTCAGTACTGCCTGTATTACCAAATTCTATTTCCTGTGTAAGTAACTGTAGAAGTGATTCCCCTAATATATCTATAGGGCTTCCATCAGCTAAACGAACTCTGTTGTAGTATTCTCCAAGTAAAGTGACCGAATTATATAGCATATTTTTATTTTCTTTTCTATACATTTCAGCATTTGAAAAATTTTTTTGCAAAATATTTAACATTTTGCATCTTACTTTTGTGTCATGCATAGCAAGGGAATCGAAATTTCTGGATGAAAAAAGCATAGCAAATTTCAAAGCAGCATCGCAATCCTCGAGAACTTTTTGGTTTATATAATCCATAGAATCACTGAAAATAATTAAAAATTAAATATGTAGCTCAATAATTTTAAACTTGACTGTGTTTATTAAATTGAAAAAGCAAGTATTGAAGTGTAAAATTCACAAAATTTAAATCTGTTTTTACTTTGTAAAACAAAAATATAAAAGTTTAAAAGCAATAAAACAAGCATAAAAACATAATAATTAATAATCTACTAAGATTTTATAGATTAAGGGCCATTTTTGTGCTAAAAAAGAAGACGCAATACTTTAAATGCAAATTTTATTTAATGAGCATAGGTATCTATATATAAAATGGATAAAACATTTTCTTAATGTTATGAAAAAAATTTTCCAAAAAAAGGGCCATTTATTTGTTTTAATATACATTTTTTATTACCTTAACATTTGTTCATCTTTTACTATATTGCAAAAATCTAATTCAATGGCTTTAATTTTGTGGTTCATACATATTCCATCATCTTGTAAATCTAAATTTTTTATCATGTTTATTATTTCATCTAAATTTTTTGCCATTTTAATGGATAATTTTTAATTATAATCTAAGTAAATATGTAAAATGTTGAATATTAAAAATTATGACTTTAGAATTTGAATCAGCCTATGTAATTGCAAAATCACATTTTAATATGGTCACAGATTTTGATTAGGACGTATTTTTTTTAAATGTTGTAATAAACGAAAAATATACGCAAATAAATTAATTAAAATCCTTGTCTTAAAGCAGTGTTTTAATAGTTAAAAAATAAAAAATAATTTATATTTTACAAAATAAACTCAAATGAAAACGTAACACTGAATAAAACCAACACTTTATTTTAGGGGGAAATCTTTTCGTTTTCAATAAGTTTTGTCTTTTAGTATCGGAAATGTCAATTTTCACAAAATTCATTTGACGATAACAGTTAAGTGACATCTCGTGGCGTGAAATAAAGAGTAATTTATAAAGTTAAAAAACAAACGGTTAGGAATAATTTTTAAAGAGAATTATATTAATATGGGAAAAGAAGACATACTCGTACATTAAAAATAAAATAAATAAAATAAGATACGAATAAAAAATACGGATGAAATAATTTTGAAAATAATTTTCGAACTATTCTTTAAATGAAGCTACTGGAAAATGCAATACAGATTTCCCATTTTCAACCGATTTCAACTAAAAGTTTATAGTTTATACAATTTTGACAAACTACAACTACAACTTTTTAAACAAATAACAAGACGTATTTCGCAATTATGAAATTTTTTCCGCTGTTAGAAAATTTTATTTCGTTTACAACAAATAGATCGTATGTTTTCTGGGTCATTTTGACATTTAATAATTTCTAAGACGGCTGACAGATTTTTTGTAATGTCAAGATTTTAAATGTCGATTTTTTATCATTAATAAAATTGAAGAAAGAAAACCATAGAAAAAGCTTATGTATTTGAAATTCATATTAGAAATATTTTTTTATTTCGGAATTCATAATATGTGTTCTGAAAACTTTAATTTTATTTACTTATGACCTTTTACAAGTAATTAGCCATCTGACAATAAAAAATATGGTTTTAATAGCATAAATTAACTAACAGAATTCGTTACAAATTTATTTATTTATGTACATATGTATGTACTTGCGTCTTTCGATCTGCTCGACCAAAAAGAATAAAAACTTGATTGTAAAATTTATAAACCTACTTTGTTTCCATTACACGTAATACATTTTAGGAATGTATAAAGGGGCCACAATATCTATATACATCAGTTTCAATTCAAGAGTAAAAAACAATAATATTTTGCATCCCTAAAATTTTAAAATCACCATATTCGTGTTTAACTTCAACAGTCAACCACACTTTATACCTAATATGTGCATATTTGCATTTACTAAAACACGTGCTTTTTCCATCTAATAACCCTTTAGTGTGCTAACGTAGTCTAAAGTGTGTATGTATGTAACTTCCATAAAAAACCCACATACATATGCACGCATAGGTACACGTACTTATCCGTACTTATAATAGATTTGTTAACTTATTATTTATAATATACGTACTCATGATCTTCGTAATATACATGATCTATTGAAAATTTCACATTTCAGAAATCGAAGAGGTTATTATTTTACCCATTGAGAAATGTTGATACGAAGGTTCGTACATACAAAAATACATACATATTTAATTTTTTTCGTTTTTGTTTTGTTTTATTGACATTTTTTTTACTTGAAATATCATGATCTGACCACAATTTGATACATTCGATATTTTTTCTTTTACAAAATTATCAATATAAATTTATATAATCAGCATTACTAATTATTTTGAGGCTTAGACCATTCTACATTCAAAATCAAATGATCATAACCATGGCCATTAAGTATAGCAATAGCGTTAGCAGCGTCATTTTTTAATTTAAAATGAACATAAGCAAATCCTTTGCATAATCCAGTATTTTTGTCTCGTGCTAAATACATTTTACTATGTGGACCAATTTTTTTAACTAATTCTTCCAGATCAGCCTCCGTCATTGATTCTGACAAATTAGAAATTCGGATTGCTGCAGTATCATCTCTGCCTCTCAAACCAGATGTTCCAGCTTTTCCACTATCCTTTAAGAAGGGTGGAATATACTTGCCGGGTTTCGATGGTTCAGTAGTGCTAGTTGTTGGTTTATTTTCCATCAATTTTCCTGTGTCCATTGTTGTTCCTTTATATGGACAATTAACAGACCAATGTTCACCATTACAGATACGACATTTTGCAAAATTTTTCATATTATCTAAGAGATTATCATTAGTTTTCTCTTCTTCTTTAGCTGACAAAAATTGTAAATAAACGTCTTCGGATACCATAGTTGTGTGTGAATTTGGCCCAGGCTTGTCATTAGCAGAATCTCCGAATTTTGGTAAATTTTTACGCCTTGCTACAGACTTTGGAACAACTTGATTTGTTATTTTGTATGTACGTACAACTTTTGTTTTTTTTTCACTGATGAACTTGTACTCGGTGACATATTTATAACCATTTTCAATTATTTCAGTAGTAGGTGGCAAACCCCCTGCATCAAGTTCTACCTCATCAGCCCATGAAGCTTTTATATCGTCTATACCGGGCATTATTAATTCCTAAAATTTTGAAAATTAATCCTTCTGAATTTCTAGAAATTGGTTTTTACTTAATCAAAAATAATATAATACGTATATATGAGCAAAGAAGGACCCCGATTTCACAAAACTTTTGTTTTAATGTCAAGGTGTCAAAAGAAAGGCAAAGGAACCATGTATCAAAGATGGGTATATTAAATAATTATTATAAAATGTTTCGATTCAAATAACTAGTTGTGTCAATTATGGTGATTTTACATTTTGTGTTTCATTCAAGTGCCAATTGTTCCTATAGTTCAAATAAAAAGTGCCAAATTTTGGCATTTAAGAAAATTATTGTTTACATAATATAAAAATTTTTGTATATCAGAAAGCATACAAAACCAGTTCACAAAGAATTTTTTTTTAATTTACAACATGAGAAATCAATAAATTCAGCAAAAATAGGTAGCATTAATAATTTATATTTTTGAAGCATTTTAAGGGGAGAGACAGTGGCTACAGGTTTTAAATATTTTAAATATTTTACACGTCTTTAAATATTTTAACGGACGCAAAGTGTAAATTGATGTTCAAGTTAGATGAATAATAATTAAAAAATTTTATTGCCATTACTTGGTATTCGACTCATTTGTTTTAGCACACTAAAAAAATTTAATATGAAAAACAAAATATGATTTATTCTGTCTAAAGAGTTCTAACATTGTTTTATGGAATTGACAGTCAATTGTTGGTCATGTCGCTGTATTTACTTTACTGACAAGCAACAATAAATTTGTGATTTACATTAACTTATGTCGAGTTATAGATACTTATTGTTTATAAAAATTAGTTGAAATCATTAAAATTTTGTTTTTGGCCATATGCATTTTTCTTTATGTTGAAATATTTTCTAAAAATGCCATACTATGCTGTTGCTAGAGGAAGAGTTGTTGGAATCTTTCCAGAATGGTAGTATAAAGAAAAAGTAAAAAAATTTAAAAGTGCACATATTTCAAACATGAATTAAATTTTAAGGCATATGTGTGATAGTGCCGTAAAGGCATTCAAAGGAGCTAAGTTCAAAAAATTTCACAGCAAAAACGACGCTATAGCATTTTTAAAACAACACAATGTTAATTATGAAAGCAATAACGATAGCGATCCCAGTTGCTCAAGTGAAGAGGAATCCAAACCAAAAGAATTTTGGCCGGATGATGTTGAATGTGATGACGAACAAAATGATCTTTTGGTAACTGGTTTATGTGCAAACTAAATCCCTTTATATTTCTCAATTTTTTAGTTGACTGCTTCGGCTGAAGTTGAAGGTTTACCATCAACGAGTAGTCCTCTTAAAAGAAAACATGATTCTAATGAGAACTCTTCCTCAGGAAAATCTAAGTTACTAAAACATAAATCCCAAGTGTGGGAACCTATAGGTTTAAAGAAATTTGGTAATATGCAATTTCCAATAGATTCCGAAGGTTTTGTGATATGCTATACAGATGGATCTTGTGAAGGTAATGGTCAAAATATTGCTGCTGCTGGATTTGGTGTTTATTTCAGCGAAAACCATCCATTGTAAAAAGCTTTCATTTCTATAAAAAACACAGATGAATATAAATTTTTCAGAAATACAGCAAAACCAGTTAGTGGACGACCAACAAATAATGTAGGAGAGATACAGGCTTCTATTTATGCAGTCAAATTAGCTCTTGATTTAGGAATCGAAAAATTATGCATTAGTACTGATTCTCAGTTCCTTATAAATTCCATAACTCAGTGGGTCAAAGGCTGGAAAAAAAATGGTTGGCGTAAAAAAGATGGTACAATGGTCAAAAATTCAGAAGATTTTAAGGAACTTAATGCTTTATTAGAAAAAAATAAAATTGAAATTAAATGGGTAAGAAATGAGATAAATATTTCAGTGATAGCAATCAAACTAATTATTTTTTTCAGAATTATGTCAAGGGGCATGAGGGCATAATTGGGAATGAAAAAGCGGATAAGCTAGCCAGGCAGGGTGCTCAAATGTATCGAGATAAAAAAGTTATTTCCAAATAACAAGATTATTGTGAAAAATGTTTGATATACTGATAAGAAGTTCTTACTATAAATTGTTAAATTAAAATTAAAAAAATTAGCTTTTGATTAAACAATTTGTACTTTAATCGTTTTAATCATATATCTTTTAAAGTATAATTTTTAATCGTGCAGCAGAATTTTTGGACAAGTAATTTATTTAATTTTTAAAATCATTTGCTATTAAGTGAAAAAATTCATAATGATTCTGTATACTAGTTTGTTTCTAGTATTTTTTTTAAATTATTTAAATTTTTCATCCATTTAGCCCGATTTCTCCAATTTTTTTTCCACGACTTTCAAAATATTTTTCTTTTTTAAGCCCGGATCTTACTTCAATATTAAAAATTAAAGTTGAAAAATAACTTAGTTAATATCAAGTTACCAACAGATTTTTTGGTTAGAGTTGTAATATTCTGCAAAAACTACTCCGTATATTTATGCATCTTCTTTCAATTTTTACATGATGTATTGAGAAAAAATGAAAAACATACAGAATAAGGCTATAATCACTGAAAAATAAGATTTTGAGTTTTATTAGTTACTATGAGAACCTTTTTAGACTGTACTGCAACTTTTGCCTACTTCTAAAGATAAAAGTTATTCTATTGGTTAGTCGTTAGTGTAATATAAATTCTATATGTTAATTCAATTCCTTGCATTCAAATTAATAAAAAAAAAAAAAACATTTTTTGTAAGTACTTTATTTATTTATTCAATTTGTTTATTTTTTCTTTATAAGGAATGATTTAAGCTGTTCTATTGTTAATTAGTAAATTTTGCTTGATTGAGATTTAAACTATGTACACAGTTTTGTTTGAAAACTATAAATGAATAAATTTTGTATGTATTTATAAAAAATTTTTTGTTACAAATAATTTTTATTCATATTGGATGAGTTTTTACACTTTAAACATCAAATTGAAAAAAAAAACTCAAAATTTACATTATGTTATTTTAATCATGCAAATCATGTTCTAAATTTGATAAGTAATTAAGAATTTGGTTTTTATATAATTTTTTTTATTAAATAAAAATTTGAAAGTCAATAAAGTGTTTAACTGGGAAATGTACCTTCCTTATTTATTATTTGAAAACGCTTACGTTCCTAATTATCCTGAATATGCCATAAAACTAGAAGTTTAATTACAAAAAATTTGGAAAATTTAATTGTAGCTAATAATTTTGTTATTTCTGCAATTTATTTTAAGGTTTATTTTCAGGAATGTATATAATATGTACGTACAAAATTGCATATGTATTCATTATTAAAAATTTTTTAAAAGCGAAAATTGAAAAATTTATCTATAAAATAAATTAAGTCTATATTATTATAGCAACAAGAAAATTAAAAAAAAAATGTCAAAACTTATGATTTGTATTACTAAAAATACTTTCATTTCATATTCTCGTGGTTTGTGTAGCTTTACTTTTTTACTTTTTGATTTTGATTTTATTTTCTAAATTATTTAAATTAGAACTTTATGAACAATTTCAAGTTTCGTTAAATGTCTGTTTTACTTTTAAAGTATGAAATTATTTTATTTTTTAATAAAAACTTCCAATATTTTTTATATGAAGTGATTCATTAATTTTATTTATAATTCATTCAGATGATACATTGTATTAAATACAACTTTATCTTATTTTGATTTTAATATTTCTTTCTCTTTTATTTGTATGATATACATTATATAACAACTAAAGATTATTAGAAATGTTATCTTTTGTTTTTTTAATTTTTTAATTGGTTCCATAAACATTATGTTTATCATGTCATTTAGAATAAAACGAAATTAACCAAAACGCATAAATTAATTAGTAATTAATTTTATTTTATATACCCTAGAAAAAAAAACAAGGCTGTTCAATTATTTAATATATAATTAGATCAGATGTATGTACATATACAATATTTAAATATATGAATATTTTTCGTAAATTAAAAATAATATTGTTAATGAAATATTTTATATAATGGGTGAGGAAAATGAAAATAATTTTAAAAAATAAATAACTAACATGTCACAGAATATCAAGTTGTATCTTAAAAAATAACAGAGAGAAAAAAAAGGAATCATAAAAATACTATTCTTTGTCAAATTCCGGAATATAAAACAGTATCACATGAAATTGTGATAGAATTAGCATATTTTAAATTCTTCTATCAAATTATTATAGAAGGCAATAAGCTTTTCATCTCTTTCCTGAAATTGATATTAAAACACGACTTTAATCTGTATAACAGACTGCTATTGACGCAGTCAATAGTTTAAAAGAAGGAAATTATATTAAAAGAAATTTAATGTATGTATTAATTTTTATTAATTTATTTGATTTTGAAAAATGCGTATATTAATAGAAAAACTCTGCTAAAATATAGAGTTCATTTTATACATTATTCTTAAAAATATTGTGCTTTTAGGTCGGATTAACCATTTTGTTTTTCTTTTTTTTGCACGTAATATTGAATATAATTCATGAAATTTATGCAAAATTTTTTATTATTATTGATAATAACAATGTGCAAGATTTATTCAAGATTTTTCATCAATTTGTTTTTGTTACTTTTATTCATAATTACCATGTCATAAATATTTCTATACATTGTGTGTTAATTATTTCTATAAATTAAATACTGGTTATTTTCAAATTTATTCGCTTATAATTCTATAATCACATAAAATCAAATTACACAGTTGAATTAGTTGAATTCAAAAATTTGAATTTTATCTTATAACGATAGTAAATTCATGCTTTTTTTTAAAAATACTTTTATAAAATAAAAACCTCGCAAAAATTCACAGTCAGCAATTCTTTTTCCTGTTTTAACACATATTACAATTCTTTCGAATTTCTTGAACAATTTCTTGCATTGATGGAAAAAAGAAAAAATTAACATAATATGTATGTATATGAAATTTTGAATCCTGTACCAATGATAGCCCTGAACAATTTTTTTTTTTTTTGTAAGAGATTTAATACAAAAAGTTCTTATCCAATTTATGTATGTATTTATCATTTATTTAACTGCATTTAGAATATTATACAAAACCCAAACATAAAATGTTTAATATTATTAGAGTAGCAAATTCTTTTGAAACAAATTTTTCTATTTTTTATCGAATAAATTATGACTGTAAAACCTTAAAAAATTTAAAGCATTAAAAAAGATATTGATTTATGGAAAGTAAAACAAAAATCATATTGCTTATAAAAAAAAACAAAATTTTAAAGTAGGTATTTAGATTTTAAAAATCTGGATCAGATTTGAAAAGCCAAAAAATTTTAAAAAATTCCAGGTCATGACATGTAAGAAGCATAGTATATCTTCTTTTGATTAAATACTTGGGAAATTTCTATAAACTATTGTATCGTAATTAATACTGACAATGAGCCAATTGAAAAAAATTATAGAAAAATTATTCTGTATTGTAACGTTAATTAATAATAAAGCAATCAAATTATAAATTGAATTAAATACTTCTCATAATTTAATTTAAAAAAATCTTGGTTTTTTTAACATTTATTATAATAATAGTGTAATATATTATGTAATGCATATGCGTTTTTTGTAAGTTTGATGGAATTAATGCAAAAATTAGTTAAATTTGCGAATTAAAAATACAAAACAAAAAAAAAAAAATAATATAAAGGTTCACAAAAATTCACAGTCCTGTTTTCTCGCAATTTACAAAATTAAAAACAAAATCTATGTATATTTCTTAAACTATGTGTACTTAAACTAAAAGATCTTATATGTCATATAATTATGAGTTTATATATTATAAGCATATACATACATATATATAACTTATATTTATGTATAAATTATACATAAATATAAATTATTTTAAATGTGTTCATTGTCGAAAAAATTGATAGAAATCTAAAAATTTCTAATTGAAATTTTAAAAATAATTATATAAGTAAATATAAGTATGAATTTTGCTTTAGCAGAAAAGTTTTGTAAAATTTCTCAAACAACAAGTCATTTCTTCGCACGTCATAACATCACTTAAATTAATTTTAGTTCGAATTCCAAAACTAAAAATAGAATTCTGAAAAAAATTGAACTTTTCAAAGTATAACAAAATTAAGATTAAAGTACATACAGATGTTGTAAAAGATACAGTTTTGGTTTACATTATGTAATCTACAAATATTGGGAAATATCAGAGAAAATTTAGAATTTCAATACTATACCATTATGTTATTAAAGAGCTTTCTTTAAAATAGAAGATATAAAAGAGAAATAACTTGATTTTATAAAAAAAAAATTAATTTTTTTAAATTAATAAAAAATTTTATTTTTATATGTAAAAAAGCAAAATATCAAAACGGGTCTACAAAACTGATTTTACTATTTTTTGATAGTAAATTTTTGTTATTAATAAAAAGTAGATGTATATGTAAGTACAAAAATTAAATACATATAATATATTCATAATTTGTATTCATGTATGCATAGTCACATATATCAAAAATATTCCAAATCTAACATTGAAATGAAAACAAAAACTCTATTATGCAATGAACACATTCCCTTATACGATGATATATTGATATATATATATATATATATATATATTTAATTATATAATAGTAATAAATATTTCATTTTATTTCTTACGTTCTATATTTGGAATCAATTTTTACTTTTTCTTTATTTTTCATCTTACTTTTTTAATATTTATTAATTAGTTATATAAATTTTAGCTATTAAACATGTAATAAAAAAAAATTAAATCTTTTTCTAAATTCCTTATGTTAAAGTAAAATATTTATTACGCCTTAATTTATGCAATAATATTGTATATATAAATTTTAATTTTTTTTTATTTTTCTTTATTAAGTTAATTTTTCTATCAAACGTTTTTTATATTTATTTTTAATTTATCAATATTACGTTTATTACTTTTCGTAATTGGTTAATCAAATCTTTTTTTTATTAATTTTTAATTTCTAATAATATTAAATCTTAAATTTAAAATGTATTTTAATTTCTGTTTTATTCATTTGTTTGTTTTTTTTTTTTCAATTATAATAATATAATATTTAATATTGATGTTTGTTTTTAATATTTTTAATATAATAATTAGTTTTATTCATCCGTAAAAGGATGTTCTGATGTATCACTACTATTACGACGTTTATTTTCTAATATTTTGGTAGCTTGTTCGAGAGTCTCTTGATAAAAAATAGTATTTGTGTCACCAGATAGAGAATATTTTGTTTCATCATGCCACGTTAATCCTAAAACTATATTTAATGCTGATGTGTCGTATGCATGACATCCGGAGTAACGAAATTGTGGTTTTTTGTTATATTTGCAACCACCAGATTGAGCACCTAAAAACAAATGAAAAAATGATTTATTAAGAACAATTTAATAACTACATTTACGAGTATGTTGTAAAACATAAATGAAATGAAATATTAAAATTTTTTAGTGAACTTCTAAGACTAAAACACTGTATGGGTATATAGATATTATACATATATGTATAACAAAAAACTAATTTGGATTTTCTTATTGAAAGGGAATGAATAAAAGAAAATATTTTCCTTAATTTTCTTTGATTACCTTTTTCCATCTTTGTATTTTTAACTTACCAATTGGATCGATACATTCCATCGTTAAACAACATTTTATCCATGGTAATAATATTTTTTCATTAACTATTGGTGTATCCGTAATGAATATTGCATCTAAATTAATCATACGTGAAAATTGAAAATTTTCTGCATTCGTTTGGAAATAACCAAACATCTTTGGATGAGTTAATGTCGATACTGCCAAGGGTGTTGTCCAACCTAATATACCACCATTTTGTAATGATTTTAATTTGAGATCATGTAAATCACGACTAGTACCGCGATACCTAATATAATTTTCAGTAAATAGAATTTGTTTTGAACGCTGTAACGCATCCTTTATCACAAGTGGCCGATATGCGTGCATTCGCTGATCCATTAAATATGATGGATAAACAGATAAATCATATATAATAACAGAGCATTTTGAGCTATTACAATAACTATTTAATGCATGTGAATCATCTTCAGATAATCCTAAATCATATATTAGTAAATATTCATTAGGAAATTTGGCAGCAATATTTTGCGATAGTAATATAACTGATGGTGCTTGCCCATCTTGGACGTACGTTACAATTGAGAAATTTGATTTTGTTCCATTGAAGGTGGGTTGAATAAAACCCAAATGGGCTAAATATTTTTCATCAACTTCTAATGTTTTTTCATCTGATGCACGTAAGTTTTCCTGTAACATTTATAAAAAAAAAAAAAAAATAAAATTATTATTTCATTTAGAATTTAAAATATTTTTGATCATATTTCAGTTATTTAATTTTGCAATGTTGGTCTTTGGAACCTATGTATTTCAACCAAGTTAAATAAATTAAAATAAATTAAACGTTTTAGAATAGAGTGATGAGAGAGCTGTAATTAAAATCTCATCATAAACGTGTAACAACGAGGTTTGCGTTTTAAAAATCATGGAAAAATATTTAAAAATTTCTATTTACCTTCATATTCTAATACACTAATTTTTGAATATATACATACATACATACGTATGTATGTGAACAAAAAACAGAAAAATCTTTCCCATATGTGACTATAATTTATAAGTAATTGTCATTTGTCTTCTAGAGTTGCCAATTCACTAAATGGTAATTTTATTATAATTACCACATCATATCACGCGCAATATTATCCCTTAGCGAATTCAAATAAAGATTTTTATAATTGTACATATATGTATATAAACATATACACATATGTACGTACGTATATCTATTTTTTCCTTTATTTTTGTTTTTCCACAATATTATCTTTAATCGCTTTTACTGTTATTTTATTATTTTAATGGAACGTGATATTACCAAAAATTAAAACGAATAGAAAAATTATATTGCAGCAACATGGTAAAACGACAAAAAATACACAAATTAACAAAAAAGAAAAATGCCTACAACAAAAAAAAAAAAAACGCCCAATTATAACAAAGCAAAGTCATTTTTTATACGTACATACAAATGTACGAGTATACAGACACTTATTGCGGTATTGATTTCAAATCACATAAGAAAATAAACATAAATTCGTACTTATGTATGTATGTAAGTATAATAAATTTGCAAGTGAAATCGAATTCTTATTTAAAATATTTGGTTATAGAAATCCTTTATTACTTATCTTGAGAATAAGTAGTTGTGACAATGAGTTTTTAAAGAAATGCCAATTTATTTATAACAAGTTCTAGATCCACCAACTTTTCAAATATTGACAAGTAAGCAATACAATTTAATTTTTAAAAATATTTTAAAAACATTAATATTCGCAGCAATTTTGAAATAAATATTGTTTTATTCATACAAAATATGAAATTTAGGGTTACCATATTAACATAAATTAGAAGAGCACATAACTAAACAATATTTTTGATAAAAGTTTGAAAAACGCTGGAATGACTGTATCGCCTTAACAGGAGACTATGTTGATGAATGAAATGAAATTACATATGTCAAAATGTTGCTGTTTTATTAGCCATCCTACGGACTTATTGAGCGTTGCGTTATGTATTCTTAAAAGTTAAATCGTAATTTAAAAAGGTGTGTTTAATTCATAGGTTAAAATTTTCCATTGTGAGCATATAAGAAAAAAAATATTTGTCGTTTTCTAATAGTGGTTCGAAATTATAAAAACAAAAGTCAAATATTCATAAAAAATTCACTTTAATAACTCTAATTAATAATTCTTAACTTTAAAAAACTTTAAGGAGCAAATTACATAATTCTTAGTTTTAGATTTTTATACGTTAATACGAGTAAAAGATTAATACTTATACGGACAAGAAGAATGTAACAGCAACGTATCCACTCGGTGTAGAGTGAACAGTCGACTGGGTACGTTGCCATAAGAACACTTTAATATACATAATTTGTATAATATACATACATATACTTAGTTATAAATAATATACATATACTTATAACGAATATATTCAACATTCGTCATATTAACGTCGATAAGTAGAGTAATATTGTTTTAATTGCTTGAAAAAATGTTAAAAAACTGAATAACCGTTCGCGTTTATTTTTATTTTTTTTTTGCATAAAACGAACACGCGAAGTTTATTTATACAACATTAAAACTAAATTATAAGTATGAGTAGTTCTCGAGAATAACATTAAAACCTGCCAAATTACCTACATAAATATGTTTTTTTGAAAATCCTAATAAACTAACTCAATATTTAATTTTTAAAATTTACCAGTCTTCATTTTAATTCAAAACGTGATGGCCTCAACAATAATTTTGATGTTATTCAAATTTAAACCACAAGGTTGGTGGTGGAAAAAACACTCAAAAATCAGAAATTAAAATTTCATAAAAAAATAAATAATATTTAAGTATATATTTTGTAAAATCCCATAGGATAAATTTCCAATTTGTTTCTTGGATTAAAGTTTTGATGGAAAGCCCGTTGAAATTTTTGATAACCTTATCAAATTGCTTACTCATTAATTATTAAATAATTGAGTAGACAATTTTTCTCATATCAATGAAAACTAACTAAAATTAAGTATTAAGATTTGTTAACTAATGTTAGAACACAATCAATATATGTATGTATGTATGTATGTATATAAAATGAAAATTATGTTACATGAAAAATTGTTTCCTAGTTAACATTTTAATGGAAATTAATTAATTAACCCTTCATGCAGATTTATTTTAATCATTTATTGGTATTTAATATTTAAAAACGAAATATTTTCATTGCTGTTAGTACTTGCTTGTCTTGGCAGAAAAGTGACATTATCACATACCTATACATATACGTACTTATATATAAACTTTTTATATTGTTCCTTAAATCTTGAATACATAATTGATAATGGCCCCGTTTGTTATTGATAAAATCTATAATATTATTCAGAATAAGTAAATATGGAAAATAGTTTTTTGAAAAAAATGAAAATATGTTCAATTTACTGTACTATATTATGAACATATCAGGCCACCAAGCTCAAATTATTTTCCGAAATTTGGCAATCGGAAAAAATTACAAAAATAATACTTAATTCTGAATGTTTTATGTTTTCGAAGTATTCCGGTTGAAATTGCAAATTTTTTTTTTTAATGCATTTTTCAGATGAAATTTACTAACCATATAAATTTGGAATTTATTTTTGAGTTACTCTTTGAGCTTGGTGGCCGGATAGATATACATATATACATATCTATCAGGCTCGGGAAAGAGAGCAAGAAAAGTGCAAATAAAGAAAAGTAATCTAATTCTAAAATCAAAAAAATGACACTTTTTCTGTAGATTTTATAAGCAGGATAAGTATGTACATAAATTCATATACATATATGTATACATATAATGGTTGACCATTTGTCCCTTGTTTGTTCTTTGGTCAAAGCTCTGTTATTTTACATAATTGTATGTCTCGGAAAATTTCCTGGAATTTCCATTAAGAGTACTAAAGTTTTCATGTTTACTTATTTCTGACTGGACATGAACTACTATTAAATCTTTATAACAACATATAAATTTATATATATGTATACATATGTACATATACATGTATCGATTTTGTTTAACATTAAGTACTTACTTATTTCTTTGTTGAGTACTTAAATAAATAATTAACATGCATACATAAATAACACATTGAATATATTTATAAAAAATTTTATTGTTACTTAAATCGTTTCCATTAAAAAAATATGGTTCCTTTTCAAAAAAAAAATGCACGTCGTCACATCATGCGTGCTGCACGTTGTGTGTCCCCGATGGTATAACGATAAAAATGGTCACTCTGTACAATTTAACCATTCTTATCCTTGGAGATGTGAAATAGGTTTTTAGTAAACAAAAAGAAATACTGGAGCACTGTAAACCAATTGCGATAATTAAAGAATTACAATAAATAGAATGTGATATTACAGGACACTGTCAACAAGATAGACCGGCGTATGTAGATCAAATACGAATATTTCCAATTTTACTTGAAAATGTATGTATATATGTAAGTAAGTAAACATTTCCCTAAGTTCTAAACTTTTAATTGATCTAACATTTGTAAAAGCAGTATAATCTTATACAAAGTATTTATGAACTTCATTGGACCAAGATTAAATTGGTCAAGGAAATACATAAGTACTAGGGTCATAAAAATATCATAAAAAATTAAAATTTTTGAAATTTTAAAAAATCGAAAGCACTTACGTAAGTGTAAACATATGTAACGTATAAAATTGTAAGTACATAAATTTGGCTATATAAGTATACACAATATATTTTGTTATATACATACATACATTGTATATTAAAAAAAAAACTTTGTCATTTTATAAGTATGCCACTGATTTGTAAGAAAAGAAATCTGATGTGGTAAGCACATAATCGACGGCAATGTGTATTGCCTAATTTAGTGAAAGTGCTACAGAAGATTGAGCACCTCCTTTTAATTTCAAATAAGTTAGCAAGCTTTTAACGAACATACCTAGAAAAGTGTAAATTTGGCTTTTAGTAGAATTTCGGTTTGTGCCAACGAATTCCCTGAAAAGTTCACCAGTTAGTTTCAGTAAACCCCAGAAGTCAAATATCAAATTTCAAGAAATTTCATCAATCTGTTCCGTAAATATGTTAAAAAATGTGAAATCAATCCGTGGCATAACCAAAACAAACTTACATATAAAAATTTTCTCAAAATCGGTTTAGCCGAATTTAAGATATACGTGCGCACACATAAACCGACCAGACCGACATCTTTCTAAAAATAGTTTATTTACGTTTCCCTACTATATAGTGAACACTCGACATCCGAATTTTGATGCTATCATATAATCTCCCTTATTGTATGCAATGCGGTCGGTAAATATATAAAATATGAAAACATTTACACAATATAAATAATATAAATTATTATATTTATGTACTTAATATTATAATATCGATACCTTAATCTAACAAAACGTAAGTCATTTTTTTACTAAAATGAGATTTTTATACTTAATATAGGTAAGAGAGTTAAAAATACATCTATTTCAACTACAAAACATGATTTTTTAAGTGTAAAAGAGATAAAACTCAACTTTTAGTAATAAATCGTAAATCAAAGATATTTGTAAGGCAATAATTAAGAAATCCGATTAAGATCGAGTCGTATGTAAACTTATTTTTTTTAAGCAAATTTCGATTTTATATTCAAATTTCGTTTGAAGTGAATATTGTTACATTTT